GTGTGAAGCTGGACTTGTGAATTAAAATTGATTGTTTTCACATAATCTCTTGTAACTAAGATGAGAATCTTTATAAACTAAAATAGTTTATAAATATTCACAGAATAGTCCACCCTTTTCCTCTGATTTTAATAGCTTTACTACCATTTGACACTTTTCCATATATGCTTGGGTCTACTTCTAGGCTGATTTTAATTAGAATTGATCTATTAAATTTTCATTACCTAGCTTTAGATATCTACTTTTCTGTATTTACTATTTCTTCATCGGTTTATACAAAATACATTATTTAGGAATTTTAACTGGAAAAAAATTTTAGATTCCTTTGAGGAAAATTGTTATTTTTAAATTTTGGAGATTTGCCATTCATGAAAATATTATACTTCACTATTTATTTGCATCTTTCATTTCCTTACTCAGGTTTAGTAAATTTTTATATGTATTTTATTACATTTATTCCTAGGTAATGTATACGTTTTGTTGTTATTATGAATAACATATTTTTCTATTTTATTTTAAAATTTGAGCTGGCTGGTTACAGGGACTCTGGATTTTTGCATACTAAACTTGAGTTTCCAACAATCTTGCTAAGCTTTTGTTGGTTGCAATATGGTTATAGATTCTCTTAAATTTTATACATAAAGATCATTTCATAGCAAATAAAAACATTTATTTTTCTTTCTCATCCCAGTGGCTCTATTTTCTAATTTCTTTGTCTTGGTTAGAACTTTCAGCACATTTTCTAATTGTACGAGAGGGTAATTAATTATCCTTGTTTTTTTAAATTGGTTATAATGAAAATGCTTTTAACCTTTTATCAATGAGCACGATGTTTGCTATAGATTTCTGGTAAATGTCACTCATTTAGTTTATAAAGATTCTCATCTTAGTTACGAAGAGATTTTTTTCTACAAGTGGTTATAAATTTTACCAAATATTGAGATGATTTTTCTCTTTTCTTTCTTACCTTTATTTTTTTTTAAAAAATCTTAAGCTGCTTATGTTGTATATTATAATCAACAGACTTTCAGATTCTGAACCATCTCTGCATTGGTCAATTTGCTAATTTTTAAAAATCTAGACTTATGTGAATCTGGATTAAATATTTTTTCTGTGTGTGTGTGTGTGTGTGTGTGTGTGTGTGTGTGTGTGTGTGCGCGTGCGTGCGTGTGCATACTTTGTGGTCTAGTTTTCATATCAAGGATTCCTTTTTATCAATTGGCTCATTTAGTTATACGTGACAGTAGACTCCATGTTGACATAATTATAAAAGCATGGAATATATTTTGTTTTAATTCAGGCCCCAGTATTTCTCTTCCTGCTCTTTTCCCTGTATTCTATTGATCTTCCTACCATTTACCCATATTTAAAAAAAAAAATAATTTCTTTTTTTTTAAACATTTCTTAGTTCTCAATGGACCTCTATTTATTTACATGTGATGCGGAGAATTGAACCCAGTGTCTCACACATGCTAGGCAAGCCCTCTGCCACTGAGCCACAACCCCAGCCCCATTAAACTAATTTCTTGTTCATGTCAGGATTCTACTAGTTTGCTTTCATTGTTTTATCAGTTTGGGTGTCTGGAAGGTTTCATTGGACTAAAAGAATGTGGGAGGGGTTTCTGCAACATTTTAATAGTTTCAAATCCTTCTTTCTGTTCAATGAAGTAGATATTTTCAAGCAAGTAGATAGTTCGTGGACTCAACGAAATGATTCTAATTTTCCCAAATTGACACATGAACAAAATACAATTGCTGAACACTAACTTATATGATAGCAAATGCTCAGAACTAAAAGATATAATGAATCATCCAGATGTTTCCAAATGTTTCTTTAGATTTATTATAGTTTGATTAGGCAGATATATCCTATGATAGACAAGCTATTCTTTCCTGGGATGATCATTGGGGAAAAACATTCCACAGGAATTTCCTATATAAATCCTATGTATTTTTACTTCTGTTTATAAATGATCTCTGGAAAAAAGTAAATAATATGAAAGTAAAATTTTCCATAGCAGCAACTGGCAGAGATTGGAGAACATATACTGTTTTTGTTTTCCTTTCCTTTTTAAAACAATTGGATTGTTTTATAAAAAAGCAAGAAGGCAAAGAAAGAGGATATTTTCTATATCATGATCATAGTGTATATTACATGAAATGTATTAGATTATTCTTCCAATCTCTAGTTCCTTCACAGTAAGTTCATCTTCAAACACAGAATATAGGCTTTATGATTGCTCATCCACTATATGCTGTATGTTAGGTATCCAGAATTTATCTAGGGAAACATACTTCTTTTTTCCAAAGGCATAACCCAAAAATATTTAGCCGTTTATCTTCTAAAAACCATGCAAAATGCATGTCCCTTGCATGTTTCCTGTTGATAATAGTTTCCCCATTTGTAGTACAACTTTTCTTTCCTCTGGAAAGCTGGTACTTATTTTATTCATTGCTTGCAAAATTGTGCCCTGATGCTGTTCAACCAAAGGACATGCCTCATACAAGTGAGGAGAGTATCGCTCAGGCTATAATCAGCTACAGCAATGGAAAATAGCACTTTTGAACAGGACTCTCTGAGTTCTGGGCAACACTGCCAGAACATCTCTGGACAGAGGTCACATCTAGAGTTCACTCATTAAATTGCTTTCCAAACTCGCTGAGATCTGCCCTACAAAGTCTCCAAGCTCAGCCATTCACCACACTAACAAGTATTATTCTATCTTTACAACCTGTCCAGATATGGGATGTCCCCAGCAATAAAACTGGCTGTATTCCAGAAGTTTATTTTCAAGTCATTTATTTGGAATCAGAAAACATTTTCCCATAGGAACCATTTTATAAATGGTGTTGTTCCACAGATGCCTGGTTGAGCTACATTGAATTTGAAATGTAATTTTGACTGTAGTGTTCCCACCGACCAATTGTTTATTTAGTTTCTCTGGGAAAGTGCATTCTGATTCTAACTTAGGATGCCTGAAGCCTGCCTCTTCCTCTTCCTGGTAGCTTTTGTTGTAGCTTTTTGGGGGGGCTCTTTTTAGCAGTGGTAGTTGGAAGAGGGGAGGGAGTAAAAAGCCTTCCTAAGAAAGAGATGAGCGCTGGGGGTGGAGGGTGGTGCACAGCACCACCAGCAGCTCAGGAGGCTGAGGCAGAAACTTGCAATCAAGGCCAGCCTCAGCTACTTAGTAAGACCCTGTCTCAAAATAAAGAGGGTTGGGGATGTGACTCACTGGTTATTATGGTTTGGATGTGAGGTGTCCCTCAAAAGCTCATGGGAGAAACAATGCAAGAAAATTTGGAGGGACAGGTTATGGGAGCCTTAACCCAATCAGTGAGTTAATTCCCTGAAGGGATTAATTAAGTGGTCACAAAAGGCAGGTAGGATGTGGCTGGAGGAGGAGGGTCCCCTGGGGGCATGCCTTTGGGGTACAGATGTGGGGAGCTGAGCTTAGCTCTCTCTACTTCCTGGTCATCCTGTGAGCCGCTTCCCTCCACCACACTCTTCTACCAGGATGTTCAGCCTCAGCTCTGAGGAACGGAGCCAGCGGTCTATGGATTGAACGCTCTGAAACTGTGAGCCCCCCCCACCCAATAAACTTCTTCTTCTTAAAATTGTTCTTGTCAAGTCTTTTAGTCACAGCAGTGAAAAAGCTGACTAGAACAGGTCTTAAGCATTCTGAGTTCAACCTGTGGCACACACACACACACACACACACACAGAAATAACGGAAGGAAGGGAGGGAATAAGGAAGGTAGGAAGGGAGGAAGGAAGGGAGGGAAGGAGGGAGGGAGGAAGAAAAAGAAAAGGATGAGTGTACAGAGTCTATATAGATATTTCTGGGTGACTTCTTAATGGCTGGAAGGCTGAAGGAGGAAGCCAGTCATGTGATTCAGCTTCTTCCCAGTTCTGAACAGAACATAAAGGGCAGGAGCTTTGGCTAAACAGATCATTTCTAACTCAGATCTTCATGAAGAGGGAAAGATTTTGTTTTTCTTAAAACCTTCAATTTTTGAAGACCCAGCCTCTGGACTTGTAATTAGCCAGGGAAATTATTTAAAATTTCTTTGTCAGTGATGAATCACTGTCCAAACACATAGAAATAATGAGAGATATATTTTGCATCTATCCCTGGATCTGAAAAATAGTAGGTATTCCAAAACAAATATTTTTTATTGAATTAAGTACTAAAAAGTATTAGACCACAATCGAATGCATGTGTGGGTCGGTTAACTGCATTCTAATTGAGCATCTCCTAATTCTGACCCTCCCATAGCACACTCTTTGAAGAAGTTACTGGAACATCAGTCTTACCTGGGGGCAGGTGCTGGGTCTCCATGCCCTCTCTGTTACATATCAACTTCTAACACTCTCTCTCCACTGCCAAGACTGGGGAAATAAAAAGGTATAGCAGGGATAGTTGCTGTGACAAACCAAGAAGGCTATCCTACCCTAGGACCCTGGCTGGCACAGTTTCTAGCACAAGGTTTATTCTGGCCAACATTGCCTGCTAAAAACGACCAATGCACTTTTTTTTTTTTTTTTGGTCCGTCATTTTTATAACACAAGTAGACATATTTTAGGGGGCTGTGCCTCTCTTCCAGACTACAATTTAGCCTGTACAGCAGACCTGGGTTTTGTCTATTTCAGGTTTTCAAATTGCATAACAATTTAAATTCATTTCTGTACTTGCAACTACTTTAAGAAGAAATACAGTATGAAATTGCCCTCCACTCAAAAGCCTTCCCCACTCCCAACCCCCATAAACATATCTGTTAATTTTCATTTGATAAACTGCTTTCTTTTTAAAGCTCCATTTGTGTTCTTCAAGACAGCCTCTTTCTCCAAGATTAACATTTCTTCTGATTGCTCCTGACAATGGATACACTTCCAGAGGCCCTGCTAAGGATAACCAAAAAAGGGCATGGAGCAGGCTGGTTTTGGCAGCCTGCTCGGCTGTTTCAGAGCTTTTTAGGTCTTGGTTTTTCTGATGAGTGATTTCCTGAGCATGCCTGGGGAATGACAGGCATCTGCACAGGCCCACGGCATCACCTTGGCCAGGGTGTCGTCATTGGCTGCTTATTAGAAAAACTACAGGACAATGCATACCACTGACTGCCGGCTGTAAACATAGGGGATATGTGTTCACTTAGCATGGACTTCTGGGAGGGGCCAAGGAAGGGCGGTCTGCAGTTTTATTGAATAGAGCAGTGTGCATTCGGCTGCCTGCCTGCCTGCTTGCTCTCTTGCTGTGCTCCTGCTTAAAGGGATCAGCCCTTCCTTTCCCACGGAGTCCTGGGGAAGAGATTTCAGCCGAGGAGGTAAGGCACGGGGGCCTTTTTCTTTTCTTTTCCAGAGAAGCTGGGGACTTTTCTCTGGGTTTCAATCAACATTCCTGGCCAAGGCAGCCAGACATGCAAGATCCTTCAAGGCAATAGACCATGTAAATTCTCGGAGTTAGACTGGGCTTCACCACCCTGCAGATGTTCCCAGAGGCGAACAGGGTGAAATTTCAAGTTTTGTTTCTAGAGTTGGGACAAGAGGAGAGATCACATAGTGACTTGTATCAGGGAGCACTGGTAACGTTGCTTCAGATGTCCTTTTGTTTAGGAGAGGGACGTGGGTTTGTACCTGATGACCACAGGCCAGGGCTAGCGGGCGGGCTGTGCCACTCAGCAGCTTCTTCTGCATCTTTTATTATCAGATTTTGAAAGGAGTTTTGCTTTAAAAGTAAGAGCAACAACTATTTATGTTGATGAGAAGCCAAAAAGTGATGTGTGTGTGTGTGTGTGTGTGTGTGTGTGTGTGTGTGTGTTTAAACCACATGCATTTCTATGTTATTCTGCAAACAAGAACTAGACTTTTGGAGCTGGGGAAAAAACAAATACAGTCAGAGGGTTCTAGCTCTAGTGATGGTTGAGTTAGTGTCACTGATCTGATATTTACTAAGACAGAGGTTGCCTACCCTGATCTGTTTCCTATAAAACCTAAAAACAAGAGTATGCATGTGTTAGTGGGTGTGTGTTTAGAAATCATAGTTAACCTCCTACCAAACTATTTCTCAAGAACTCTCATTTTTCTGTTTGAAAGAGTGCCTGACTATGCCTGGAGAATTTGAAAAAAAAAAATGTGGGTTGGAGATGTGTTCCAGAAAGGAAGGAGACAGGCTTTTATTTCAAGATAGACGTATTTGGGCATCTTAAATAGAAGCACAGGCAGCTAGTTGGTAGTATGGTCTGCAATTCCTTTTAGAAAGAGCTGATTGTTACAATCACCCTTTAAGGGTGGGGGAATTTTAGTGCTGTGGCAATCCAGGGTCAAAAAAGTGGATAAGAACAAAGTACTTGGTCTTCAGAGATCTGTCTGTTAACAAGACTATGCAGATGAACTTATAAACGGAAACAGCAAAATCCTTCTAGTGTTTTTGGCAAAACCGGACATGTGTGGCTAGATCTTATGTGGAGAGAAGGGCAAATCTGATAATTTTTTTAAAATAATATGGATATGAAAGGCTACCACTCCAAATGACAGATTCCATTTGATTTTATTCCATGCAGTATGGTGGTTTGGGGTTGAGATTCATTAATCTTTTCTCTTTGTATTTAGAAATTGGGGATAATTTCTTGAGAATGTCTCTCTCTGCTTCTAGAAGTGATATATGAGAACAGACTTCCCTGTGAATTTCTTTCCCTGGACTAGTTCTGAGTAAGTGTGAGAGGAAGGCTGCAGGCAAAAGCTACAGTTTGATTATTGTCCTTCCCTCGAAGAGATCAAGTTCCAAACTATTTTCACAGTGTTTTTAATGTCAATCAAAATATGGAAAGCATTTTTTTTTTCAACTGTTCTCTAAACCATGTAGGGAATGCAGTTTGGAAGGAAATCCATAATCTTGGGATTTGAAGATAAATTCCATTTGAAACCAACATCTTCGAATCCCTGAAAGTTCAGTCTTTCTATGACCACTCTCTCCCATCCCCTCCTGTGCCTCCCACCTCCAACAACCACAAAAACACATTTAAAAAAACACCCCCCCACAAAAAACCAGTGTACATGTTCTACTGTAGATTGAAATGTGAGGATTTTAGTTTCTGTTGAACTTTAGGCAGTTATTTGGGTGTCATTTTGCTGTTGAGTATTAGCTATAATACATCTCCCCCAAACAGGGAGGCAAACAGACTCAATAAAACCACACTGCGAGAACTTTCATTCTATTAAAATCATTTAATAAAGAAAAATATGATGGCAAAATTCTGGGACAAAACATTAGTAAAAGAGCTGATCTTTGGACACTCAAGAAATGTACAAGGGATTGGCTATAGGTAAAGTATAGAGTTGTTTCCATTTCAAAGCCAATAGAATGGGGAATTTAAATAATTCAAATGAAAAAAAAAATGACATGATTTTTGCATTAGAGGGAGAAGGAGAACCATATTCAAAAGATTTAAATGAGATACATGAGAGCTTTTCCTGACAGGGGGGCTATTAATAATTCTTATTGACCTCTGTGACTGTCCTGAAGAGCTCCTGCTCTCTGCATATGAAATAAGTTGGTACTGTGACATGGCATAGAAAGTTCCAGAACCTAGCCTGGGTATATTCTGTTCTGATGAGTGAAATGCACCTCAGAATTCCTTAAAAAAGAAAAAGAAAAAGAACATGTAGTTGTCATTTTCATGGTAGCATGATAACTAGTTTGTCACTCCTTTAACAAGACAGAAAAGTGACTTGAGATGGGTCTGAGAGAGGATTTGAGAGTTTCCCATCTGCCTGTTGTCTGTCACTGGGTTAGGAAATGTGGTGGGGTGAGGCCATGGGGGTTGGGGAGATGGAGAAAATGCTGACGAAGAGGAATGCAAATAGCATGGTAGACTAAGGAGGAGGTTAGAAAGATACTGCCAAAGAATTTTTAGACTTTCAAAAGGGGTTTTCTGGGTAAAATCTCTCAGATTCTGAAAATAGAACCATTAGCTTCTTAACAGAAAGTTCTTCATCTGCCAAGCTAGCCCAGATGCCCATCCATTCTGGGTGCTGGGTAATTTAAAGAGATGCTTTTAGCTCAGCCTTAACTCTTGAGCACCAAGATGAGACCTCACTTGAAGTTTTGGTTCCTCTGCTGAAATGACCCTGACCTCTGCAGAAGGCATCAATTCTTTGGTCACATCTGCAGAATGGATCCGGTAGTGATTAATATCTCTAAGTGAAGTGAGCCTTTGCTCTTCTTCCCTGTAGGCTAAGTACACTGAACTGCCTTCAATTGGAGTCCTCTGGACATTATGTTCCTACCTCTTACCTACTATCTCGAACTATTTCCTCCTTCCTCGTACTTCCATCCTTGGGTGCTACTTTCTGGCTCCAACTTCTTTCTAGGTCCCTGGTTCCATAATCTGGTGAATCATGGGTCTAGCCCAATGTAGTCTGAAGTCTGGTTTTGATGATCAGAGACCAGGAGAAAAATAAACAACAGGAAGATAAGCCATCAGAGGTGCAAAGCAATATCTAGGAACCAGGAAATCTGAAGATCCAGATGAGCAGAAGACCAAAGACAAGTGCTGACAACAGAAAGGCCTTAGTAAATGAGGCAGCTTCTTTGCCTCCAGCCAAAAGCATGGAATTAATCCCAGCATGTCAAGCCTGGGCCTTGTCGGGAGGATGAGGTAATCAGGAGCACCTGGCTGTGGTTCCTGTTGGTATTGAGACCAGACTGCTGCACGGAGCTTGCCTCTCACCTCTGAGGGCCTCAGTCTTTAGTATCCCCAACTGTCACTGAGCCCTGGTAGCATCCCTAACTTCCTCACCCCACCCCTCCACCCCACCAGCTCCTCGATTCCCTAACCAAACATGGAGCTTTCCTGGTTCCACCCTGGAAATGGACAGGATCCGGGCTCTGGGATGAGGCCCAGACGACGGTGTAAGTGTCAAGCACTGGTTCTAGATAGAGGACAGCTGCTTGTCTTTTTTAGGCAGAAGGAGAAAAGTTAAAAGAGCAGGCAGCGTTGAGATTAGAGCATTTTCTGTAGTAAGGGGCCACAAGCTTTCAATTGGCTGGGGGAGGGGGGGCAGGAAGCCTGGAAGCCCCAGGCTATGAGGAGGAAGTGAGGAGGCTGTCCTTCTGGTAGGATGTTTTGCTCGGGTGCTTGGAGACCTTGGACCATCTGATAAGAACTCTGAACCCTGAGGTCCTTTGGGAACCCACCCTTTGTGATTGACTGGTAAGGGACCCACCCTTGAGGGGCTGGAGGTAAGGGCATGATCAGAATATAAGTGGAGATGTGCTTCTTGTTTCTCAGATCTGGAAGGAAAGGGAGATGGGTGTGCATACACAGATACAGAGGAGGAGACTGCCTCCTTCGGCTTCCCTTCCAAAGAAAAGGAGATCATCAGCAGAGAAGAAGCTCTTTCCTTGTGGGTAGCTCACAGAGGCTAGAGACACTCAGGAATGGCAGCTCTTCAGTGTACTCCCAGAGAGCACCGAGAGATGAATAAAATGATTGCTAAGCAGCTGTGAAGCAGAGCTTGGAGGAAAATAATTTTTTAAATATTTTAAATAAATTGGGTATTCTTTATAAGCACCCATTTTAATACATATCTTTTCTTTTTTTCAAAAGAGTGTGACTACATACATCAATAATGGAGAACTTGAAGATGATTTTCTTTTTAATCGTTTCCTGAGGCTTCTGGCCTTGCTTTGTGAATATGCAGATGAGAGCCCTTGACTAGAAGGGAATCATCATACTTGAAGAGGAACGTATTAAGTAGGAATATGTAAATTAGTTCCTTTTACAGCCACATGTAACATCCCTTTTTGCTTCCTTCAACATATTTTGCTGAGGAAGTAGGCAGACCTCACTTGCATGTTGGGCAGGATCTGGGGAAAGCACCCACGGGGACCAAGGGCCAGAAGGCATCAGTGTTTCCCTGGGATGCACATAAAGCAGAAAAATGGGCTCTGTGGTAAATTACAGCTGGGTGAGAAAGGAAAAGTAGGAAACAGTCAGAAGTCAGGTAGTTTTAGAAATGAATACCTTACTGAGCAAGACAGTGTATGGTCAGGTAAGATGCAGTCTGGGGAAACAGATGCTTATGTTCACAAGCTTCAGAAGCTCAAGTCAAGGGGCAGGATTATAAAACACATGTGGAATAATAAAGGGATGGAATCACATGGAAATCCAAAAGCCAAAACAGGACCAGAGAGTCCACAAAGAGTGAAATTAGCATCAAGGTGGGTGCAAGGGTCTCAGCAGAGAACTCTATCTCCACCCAAGGTGTTTCCCGTCACAGAACTCAGCTTCAGACTATGTCTGCTTCTTTCCACTGTCCTATC